AGATGTGAGGAGGAAAGCTGCAGAGACCTGTTTGCCTCACTTGTTTGTTTTAATTAGTTTCTCCGCTATGTGTGCATATGATGTCATTATAGCTGAACTGAAATCAGATTTTCAAAAAACTGTGAGATTAATGATGAGTTTACAAGTGGTTTTGTACAGTCCTCTGTTTAATCCAATTATATATGGAGTAAAAATGAAAGAAATCTCCAAACACATAAAGAAGATGCTCTGTCATGTCAGATTAAAATAAAATATACTCTTGACTTCTTAAATAGTCTTGCAGTGTTGTAATTTCCTTGTAAGGTGTTTAAATTACATTTTCTTTTCTTTTACCAATACAAATTAAGGACTGTTCTATTAACTTTACCAATACAATCATATTTATGCAGTATTCTCTCCATTCTAGAACCCATTTATCCAATAAATGCTTGCTTGAACTCAGTGACCATATTTATAGTGGTGTCATTATGTTTTAATGCATTGATGAAGAGCAGGTATCAACATTTTACTCACAGAAAATGTCGGAAATATATGCTGCGCCAACTCTGACAGGTCATATTTTAAATCCCAGCAGGAGCAAATCACTACATTTTCTTCATTTTGTTTTACTGACGGACTGTGTTTTGTCATTTCAAGTTGTTTAAGCAACAATACTGTCATGGCCTCCAGCATCCTTCTCACCACTGAATGGAGTGCCTCAATCCATGAGTGCCTTGTATGCTGGGAAATGGCCGAGGTTTGTCTGGGAAAGCTGGGCTTTCCATAACACAAGTTTTGTGGAGGATGCTCTGACATTGTCATATGCAGCAGTGACAAGCTGGCCCTGGCCGTGTAACTTCTTGTTCAGTAAATTCAGCTCCTGTGCGATGTCAACAAGAAAAGCTAAGTCCATTAGCCATTTGGGATCCTTTAATACAGGAGCAGTCAAAGGGCTTGCTGATGGATAATGCAATGCAGAGCAATGGCCTCCTCTATGCCCTCCTCTTCCAGTTTTCTTTGAACAAGTGCCACCAGTCCATTTATCCCACCTGTCATTGATGGCGCTTCGTCAGTTGTTATTCCAGCAAAACTCTTCCATAGTAAGACGGCATCCACAATGGAATCACACAGCTGGCAGAATATCTCCTAAGCGGTGGTCTGGCCATGCATTGGAATCATTGTGAGCGACTTCTCCATTACTTCAAAATTGTCATCAACACTATGGACATATATTGTGGGCCACGCACTGTCAGTGACATCTGTGCTCTCATCAAGAGCGACTGAGTATGAATGGAAGTGATTAGCTTTGTCCCGCAGTTGATCGTAAATGTTACCTGACATGACAGACATGCGCTCTGCCACTGTGTTGGCTGAAAGGCAGATGTGACTAAACTGACCCTTCTTTTCCGGACAGACTATACTTACAGCCTGCAACACGCACTGTTTGATGAACTCGCTGTCTTTGAATGGCTTTCCTGCCTTAGCAATGAGCTCACTCACCACGGAGCTAGCTTCGACTGCCGCATCACTCTCTTTGCTTGCTTTCTTGAAAAAATCTTGTTGCCCCAGTAGACATGTTTTAAGCTTGCGACCCGGTCCGCTCGCTCACCTCCCTGGTATTTTTCATGCTCCTCAGCAATCTAGTTGAGTAATGACGTCTGATGTTATACTCTTTGTGCACCGCAACTTTATCTGTGCATATTAGACACATCAGGATGCCACTGTACTCAACAAAAAAATATTGCATCTCCTATTCCTCCTGAAATCATCTGTGCTCATTGCCAATCTTTCTCTCCACAGCAGGTTTTGAAAACGACATGACTGGGGCTGAGTGATAAAAAAACGTGTTTGCACTGGGTGACAGGATGTATTTTCCCTCCACTCGGTGACAGCCCTGAAACACCTTTTTAAGTGACCCACGCTGGTAATTCGTGTTGTTGTAACGAGCCTGAGATATGGTAGCCCACAAGTGTTAAAAAAATAAAATGCCCAGGCCAACAACTCACACAAGGGAAAAAACACATGGGCCACACTGACACCAAGCTTTGATTTCAGGTAGGGGGCCACAAAATATCGTTCCGCGGGCCGCAATTGGCCCCTGGGCCGCGAGTTTGAGACCCCTGCTTTAAAGAAATAAAAGACAAGCCAGTAGGTTTTGACCTCCAACGGCAGAATGTTAGCGTGGTGGAGCCGGACCATCGTGTGCTGCAGAATGGGCTGGCACAGTAAGACGACGTCATCCAACACACAGTCCCCAACATGAGGCACGGTGGTGGCAGCACCATCATGTGGGGATGCTTCTCAGCAGCGGGCCCTGGAAGGCTTGTAAAGGCAGAGGGTGAAATGAATGCAGCAAAACAAAGGGGAAATACTGGAGGACAACCTGATGCAAGTCTGCAAGAGATCTGCCACTTGATAGAAGATTTGTTTTCCAGCAAGACAATGACCTGAAGCATCTTTTAAACGATGGTGCAACGACGACAAAGTGGTTGAGTCAGAGCCCAGACCTCAAACCAACTCAGAATCTTGAGACAGTTTGGCTAAAAAGAATGGGGTAAGACTGAGACTTATCCACACAGGCTCAATACTACAATTGGAGGCAAAGATGCATGTACTAATTACTGACTTGAAGGAAGTCAAAGCTCCATCCATGTTGACCTTACGTTGTAGAAATCTGTTTGCCCTTGACATGAAAGAATCTTCTTTGGTAAATTCTTGTCAAAAATTAAATTGCCTATGATTCAGTGTTGAAAGGCATTAAAAAGGGGAAAACATCCACAGTGTTTGATAGCCACTATATTTGGTTTGTGTCAACGCTCCAGTGGACTAATATTCACACAACAGAAGGGGATGTAAATTAGCATTGATTCACTTTTTTCTTGAAGTTTCTTCGAAGTTTGAGCTGCATGGAAACCTGGCTCCTCTCATTTAACGAGCTGTGCAGACGACACAGTGAACGAGGTCAAAGTTTAAGTCTCCAGGGTTTAATGAGTTTGTTTTCAAGTTAGTCGTGAAAGAGTTTAATGAGATCCATGGAGGGTTAAACATTCAGATAAAACTTTCCACAGGCTCAGACGCTTCACTTTGGGGTGAACACTCGAAGTGCATTTGTGATGGAAGAACAACGTTTGTATGTTTGTGCAAGTTGTAGTTCGTTAATCTGCCTGTTTTATTTCACGTTCAGTTTTCATGGACCAAATGAATGATGAATTTAATGTAACATATCTAACTTTTGGTGGCCATGTGGAACTGCAAAAATACAGATTTCTGTATTTTGCAATTATGTTTACTGTGTATGTTCTAATACTCTGCATTAACTTAATTATCTTGTTCATCATCTGGATTCAGAAGAGCCTCCATGAGCCGATGTACATTTTCGTTGCAGCTTTGTTACTAAACTCTATTGTTTTCAGCACTAACATCTACCCAAAGCTGTTGATCGACTTTTTATCTGACAAGCAGGTCATAGCTCGTTCACTATGTGCTCTTCAGTCATTTATTTATTATTCTCTAGGCGGATCTGAATTCTTACTGTTAGCAGCCATGGCCTATGACAGGTATGTGTCTATATGTAAACCTCTGCAATATCCAATTATCATGAGAAAAACAACCGTCGGTGTTTTGCTGCTTTTAGCTTGGCTTCTGCCTGCTATTCAGCTTATGCCATCAGCTGTAATGACTAAGAATTTACAACTCTGTAGCTTTACTTTGACTGGGATTTTTTGTAATAACGCACTTTCCAAGCTTTACTGTGTGACCTCGAGAACACTGTCAGTATATGGCGTGGTTATTCTGCTTAATGTAGCCATTCTCCCCCTGCTTTTCATACTGTTTACATACACAAGGATTCTAATAATATCTTATCGAAGCTGCAAAGAAGTCAGAACAAAAGCAGCACAGACCTGTTTACCTCATCTGCTGGTCTTAATCAGCCTTTCAGTTTTGTGCTCGTATGATGTCATTATAGCTCGGCTGCAAGTTTATTTTCCCAAAACTGCACATTTGATAATGACTTTACAAATAGTAATCTATCATCCTCTCTTTAACCCGATCATATATGGAGTGAAAATGAAAGAAATCTCTAAACGTCTCAAGAAGCTGTTGTGTGAAGGCAAACTGGTCTAATATGTTCAAACTGAAGTCAATTCAAAGCTCTGATTTCACTGTAATGGAAAAACAAGAAAGCATTTCTGCAAGTATCATAAATTAAACACTATCACTAGCCTCCATCTAACTAATAACTCCAGTTTATTATTTCAACTGACGATAATCGTGTAATACTGCATTGTGATGGTCATTGTCATTTGTTTTCGATCGTCAGTCAGCAGTTAAAGCACGTCTTCGTTCATACCTTCAGGCCTAACGACTCCAGACTAACTGCAGCTGTAGTGTGTACAAACTTGTGCATGTTAAATGTTTCACTAAGTTCACTACAGGAAAACATCAGCGTGTTAACTGTTGCATGACTGTGTACTTTGACAGAAACAGGCCACGGTATGTAATTCAGTTTCATTTTTTTTACATTTACGTTTTTAAATTGCATTATCAGTCGGTCTATGCTTGCAATGTTCAGAGAGAATACAATGAGTTTGAAAACCGGCGAACCTTTTGTTTTTTTTCTTGCTTCAGTATTATGGGAATATGTCAATAGAAAATCTGTCACATGAGATTTGATTGAAGAGTTATCATCACTATAACCAGAACAGAAAAGACTAAATCTTTTTCATTGACAGGTGGTAATGAGTTGCCAGTACGCTCGTTATTATATGAATTTATTTAGCATTTGCAGTTCATATGATGTACTGTTCATGTGCTGTTAAATAACAGAAAGTGTCCTATGTTTGCACTCTAGATACATCAAAAATAACAGTCAACACACATGAAAAGTCAATTAAAATTCCAACTGTATACTATAATTTTCCAGTTGCTGTGACTTTGAAATTACTGTAGTGGCATAATCCCTCAATTCTTATTGTAAATACTGGTGAATGAAAAACAGTTACTTCATATTGTGTAACATTTCCTCCTACTATAGTGGAAGCATAGCACCATCATTCTTATATTTGCTGCTGATAAACAGCAGAGTGCTCTCGCAGAAAGCTTTTGCTGTCATCAGCTGGCCATTTTGCATATTGCCACATTCAGCAGAGATCTCTCAGTGCAGATCCCACCTTGTTGGAATTCTTGTGCAGTATGTCAAATGACATCAATCATAGGCCAACTCTTTAACAACTATAAATTGTTGCATTTGTATGTACAAAGATTTTTATTCTGTCAGTGTTGCTGTTGTACCCATAGCAGCCCTGAAACCAGAGTTCTCCCAAATTACAAATCCCAACTGAACCCCTGGTTGTATTTATGGAACAATACTCTGTTACTACTTGAATTATTGTGTTTAAATACATATGATATTACACGGTACAGTTGTTTTATTTCTGTTATATGGTTATTACGTTATTACATTCTACACTTATTACATATTTTTAGCATATGTTATCAAAACCACATACTTGTGCTCTATTTCAGTAAGTTCTACGCTTCAAAAATGTATTTGAAAATGTTTGAGAACTGATTATTTTTATGCACCAAAGTATATATTCATTTCTTTAACACTCATCCAGTCTGGACATCACTCCATGCTTTCTAAGTGGGAACCCATGTCACATGTGCCATTGTACAGGGGACTTGTACAGTTCCACAAAGTAGAAGTGGGAACCTTTGTTTTCCATCACATGCATCAACACACATTCTTACCAACTGAGGAAACATGTATGTTGTAAAATTGACAGATTATTTTCTAATAAGCCCTGCGATGGACTGGCGACCTGTCCAGGGTGTCCCCTGCCTTCGACCTAGGTCGGCTGGGATGGGCTCCAGCCCCCCCCCCCGCGACCCTAGTGAGGATTAAGCGGTGTATGGATAATGGATGGATGGATTTTCTAATAATAAATAGCAGCAAAGACGCTAACATACCGTCTTTGCTGCTACAGGTAGAGAAACTGCATCACCGCTTGTTGATAAATACTTGCCTGAATACATGTTAGTTAGCCGGGTAAGCTTGTGGTGCCCCCCGTGGATGTCGGCGCCCTTAGCATTTGCCTATACTGCCTATTCCTAGGGCCGGCTCTGCATGAAGCCTTGCGTTACCCACTCCTTGTTTGCATAAAACTGAGGTATAACCCATCGCTCGATGTCTCTGGGCACTCCCAAAAAAAAACGTTTACACCCACTATTGTTAATCTAAAATATGGGCACATTCAGCAGCAGTGTGACTTAGGAGGTGTGTCAGAAAAGTTCCAGGACTGGTGTCACAAAAGATATATTTCAAACCCAAACTACAAACTACAAGCTTTCCTCTTTGAAGTAATCCCCCTGGAGTCGTAACGTACAACGTACCTCCCCATCCTTCTCTGCCTTCACGCCGCCATGCACTCCTGGAAGGACTCTTCCAGGATCCTCCACAGCTCCGTCGTCACAGCTGTCTTGATGCCGTTCACATCTTCAAAACAGGTCCCCTTGATGACCCCCTTGAGTTTGGGGAAGAGAAAAAAAATCATATTTGCATAGTTGTAGGAGGAGGGGTCCAGTAATGGTGTCCTGTTGAAGAATACCTGTCAGTCATCTGTAGTGATACTCAGTGGCGTAGCCGTCATTTTAAAAGTGGGGGGACAAATTGTTCAGAGGTCCATTGAGTGATTTATCATCCTCTCACATTCAGCTGCACCTCTCCTTAGCAGGTAAAGAACCACTAACCACAAACAGCACAGCACCAAGGAACCAACTTTATTTTTTTAAAATAACAATAATAAATTATATACTATCAAAGTTAAAATCTAAAATCTAAAGCTGCCAACTGTGGTTGAGTTGACATAGAAGGACCCGGGGCATCTACACGGTGCATGGCCAGATAATGAAGTGCCACATGAAAACACTGAACACCAAAAGTTCTGTAAAACACCATTCCTGTTTAAAATGATCAGCACCAGAGCACATGTTCTGTACAGAAATGAAGGAGGAGTGGGTTTATAATCAGCTAGCTTAGCTAACTACATTGACATTTAGTTAGCTAAGCTAGCGAGTTAGCTTAGCTAACTCAGGATGACAAAGTCCTCTTCAAAGTCTTTTAGCCAAAGTCCCGGGCAATAATATCCCACATAAAATATCTTTGTATTAGCTAAACATTATCACCATGAAACAGCATTACTCAACTCACACGGTTTGTTGGGAAAAAACTGTCCAGAGTTTTCTGCTTCCTGGTTTGTTTAGCGGACATGTTTAAAGCTAAACGGCCGCCGTTTAACGCGGTCTACTAATGATGCGTTTAAGGGCGGCTCGGAAAAACGTGTTTCCACATGTTAGAAATGAATTAAGTGGTTGTAATGGCTGTAAAAAAGTGCGGGGGACAGAGGGCACAGATACGGGAAGTGTGGGGGACATGTCCCCCGTGTACCCCGCGTCCGCTACGCCCATGGTGATACTGCCTTGTGGTGACCCCCAGCATCTAAAAACACCAGTGTGCCACTAGACCCAAGCAATTAGATATCTGGCTCTGTATTACACGTTTTGTTTTTTTTTGCACTTCAGTGTCCATATTTGAAATTTCTCCATGAAGCTGAAACTAGAGCGGAGAGAAAACGTCACATTCTGGGTCCATCAGCAGTCCGGATGATCCAGCCTTCGTGTGCAGGATCGTCACTGGAGATGACAAGTGGGTCTGAGGCTACCATCAAGAGAAGAATTACAACAGTTTGCACAGTCTCCAAGATCCGACAAGGCACATGCTTGTTGTTTTTGTCACCATTCCCAGGTTGCAGATATCACACATATCTAACCAGCCAATCACATGGCAGCAACTTAATGGCGTTTAGAAATAGTCCAGACAACCTGGAATTAGTCCAACTGAGCATCAGAATAAGGAAGAAAGGGGATTTAAGTGACTTTAAAGGTAGCATGGTTGCTAGTTCCACATTCGCTGTTCTGACTGTTTCAGAAACTGCGGCTCTACTGGGATTTTACACACAATCACCTCCAGCATTTACAGAGAACGGTCCAAAAATATCCAGTGATGAATGCCTTGTTGTTGCCAGAGGTCAGAGGAAAACATCTAGATTGGTTTTGAGATGACAGAAAGGCAACTCTAATAAGCACCAATGGGCAGAAGACCACACCGGCAGCCTCTGTCAGCTAAGATCACTAAACCAAGGCTGTCATTCACTTGGGTTCACCAAAGTTGGACAATAGAAGATTGGAAAAACGCTGTCCGGTCTGATGAGAATTTGGTGTAAACAACATGAAATCATGGATCCATCCTGACCTGTATCAAAGCTTCATGGTGGTGTAATGATGCCCCGTAGTGCCAATTCAGCATCGTTTAAACTCCACAGCCTCCCTGAGTATTGTTGCTGACCAAGTCCATGCCTTCATGACCATCTTCTGATGCTACTACCAGCAGGATAACATTCAATGTCACAAAGCTCCAATCATCTCAAACTGGTTTCTTTAACATGACGATGAGTTCACTCTCCTTTAATGGCCTCCAAACTCTCAATCTAACATCGTGTCAATATGGACCAAAGCATCTGAGAAATGTGTCCAGCAGCTTCTTGAATCTTTACCATACAGAACTAAAAGGGGTTCCTCTACACCTCTACATGTGAGCAAACATCCTACAGTTCAGCTTTGAAGTATTTACTGTGATTGCCATTTAGGGGATATTTCTCGGGGGTGTTCTCATTTCTGTTCTGCACTGTGGGGCTCAATCGGCTTTATCGAGGTGCAAATGTGTGTTTGGGATTCAAACTTTCAAATGCTTCCTACAAGATTTGTGTGCTGATCTCCCCTGTCTCATACATTTTTCAGGGTTGGGTCTTCCACACAACAAACTACTCATCCTCTCAGAAGTTTCCCAGATTAGAGCGGATGTTGTGTGTTTCCTCAATTTAAAACTTTAAGCATTTCTGCCTCACTGACAGCAGCTCATGTAGAAAAGCAAATACATCACGGTTGTCATGGTCAAGAACCGAGATCCGGTTGTGAGGCAGTACAACATTCGTAGCTGCGCTCTCCTCTGGGTTCGGGAGGCCAGAGTTTGATGACGACATCTTTCTGTGAGGCGGTTAATGAGATCCACAGAGAGTGACGCAGTCTGATAAAGCTTCACCAACATCGGACGCTTCATTCTTGACATGCTGAGCAGGAGCATGTGTGCGTTTCACTGCCAGGTAACTGAACAACTGACACGTCCAACCGCTTTACTTTGTTGAAACCGTCTGTGTGAGGCTGATTTTGTGTTTGTGTTTATTCACATTGCGATGGACTTAAATATCACATACATAACTCTGACTGGACACATAGATGTGCACAGATATGGATATCTTTATTTTTTTATCATGCTTAATGCATACATTCTAATCATTTGCTGCAACGTCTCTATTGTTAGCCTGACTGTTACTCAAAAAAACCTCCACGAGCCGATGTACGTTTTCATCTCGGCTTTGCTGCTGAACTCCATTCTGTTCAGCACCGCGATCTACCCGAAGCTTCTGGCTGATTTTCTGTCTGAAAAGCAGGTGATATCGTACCAAGCGTGTCTCTTTCAGGTGTTTTTGTTTTACTCTTTAAGCTGCTCAGAGTTCATGCTGCTGGCAGCCATGGCCTACGACAGATACGTGTCCATATGCAAACCTCTGCATTACACAACTATCATGAGAAAAACAACCGTCATTGTTCTGCTGGTTTCTGCTTGGATCATACCTGCTTGTCACGTGGCGCTGCCTCTTTCCCTTCTCGCTAATCAGAAACTGTGCAAGTTTAGTTTGAACGGACTTTTTTGCAACAACTCGTTTAACTCTCTTCACTGCATAAGTACAGGACGGCTGTCTATAATCGGTGTGATAGTCGTGTTTGATGTAGTGCTTCTTCCAATACTTTTCATCATTCTTACGTACACAAAGATTCTCATCATAGCCTACCAGAGCTGTGGGGAAGTCAGGAAAAAAGCTGCACAGACCTGTTTACCTCACCTGTTTGTCTTAATCAACTTTTCTTGTTTGTTTACGTATGATTTCACGATTGTTAAATTGCAGTCAGATTTTCCCCCAAAAGCACGATTTATCATGACTCTGCAGATCGTGGTCTATACTCCGATCTGTAATCCGATCATCTACGGGCTGAAAATGAAGGAAATTTCTACACACCTGAAAATGCTGTTCTGTCCCGTCAGAGTGAACAGATGCATCGGCACATGTATTCATTTGTAGTTATTTCTGTTGTGATCATGAACAGAAGTGACATGTTTATATCATCAGAGCACCGCCTGGAGAAACACGTCTAACTAATTACTGTCTGCTGTTGCATGTTTGCTTTTGAATATATTAAACTGATCGTTGGTCTGTGCTCAGGTACAACATGCGTCTCTGTGGGTTTGTTTTTTTCTCCAAATGAAAACACACACGTCCAACAACTGTGTTGATGCATCGCCACACTTATACTCACTGTTAGCTTGTTTTTCCTGCAATATAAAGTCCTAAACCTCTCTGCAAAGAAGAAGACAGAATTCAGAAATGTCTTCTGTGCTGTATTACTCGGTTATATTACCACAAATCATTTAACTTAACTTTAAAAAAAAAAAAAGGAGAACTAAGAAAAGTTGAATTTATTTGATTATCTATTTTACAAAAATAGAAAAACTTGGAAACAACAATTCCAACCTCTTCCCTGTAGCCTCAGGTGACCCTATGTATTATAGATATTTTACTATTTGCATTTTAATTTGTTTCCAAACTTGTCTCCTCGCTGCTGTGCTTAAACACAGAATGCACTTGTTACAGAATCCATAAAGTGCACCTGATTTACTTTTGGTGATTTTTAAAACAATACATGTAGAATAAAGGGGTTCTAGGCTTCGATGTGGTTACTATTACTAATAATTTCACTGTTGAATAATTCAAGGAAAACGAAAGAAGCTGGGTGTCCTGGTGGGCTGGAGGTTTAGGGGGCCGACCATGAATTGCATATTTAAGGGTTGATTACCAATAAAAGGCTAAAAGGCGAAAAGAGAAGCAAAAGTGTTGAACATAAAATGCACTGACAATGTGAAGGCAGAGATCCAGCTCCAGTGTAAAGGGAGGAACAAGTCTACAAATAAGCAGATGAAGACTAAAGTGAGCTTTTTCTACTTTTGCCTGAAGAGAGTTTTTGAATGTAGGATGCTTGCAGTCCAACAATAGTGAAGTTCATCAACAGTCAGTGACCAATTACATTTACAAAACAAATCTAGCCTATCAGTGACGTCAGCAGAGGATTAAAATGCGACTTTGAACACGTCTAAAACCCTGTTCATACGTGACATACCTCACAAGGGGGCAGTGCTCAATACAGACACGAATACATCATGGCTTTTGTTGTACGGTTGTAAGGACG